TAAAAAAAACAATTTTTGGAATATCAATTAACGTTAACAAAAATTAAACTCGGCCAATCTCTCAAACACCTAAAAAATAATTAGAAAGGAAAATAGGTACATGTTCTAATTAGAGCCCAGACATTAAATATTAAATTAGATATAATTCAGTTCGTTTAAAATTTGTTTTTACGTGTATGGTTATGAACAATTAAAAACTATTTAGAAGGTGTGTTTAATGAATTTCCAATGAACCCTGAATTAATGTACATAAATAAATACACGAGGGCGAGCGTAGCACCGATATTACATCGCGTGGAAAGGATAAACAAATTAAAGCAACAGGTACTATGGCTAGTAGTAATTTAAAAATGGAACCAAATATTGTGACATGAAAATATTCATATTTTCTGTTTGAATTTAGAAAATCACATTTTGCATGTATTTTACTGCACTACTGTCATGGCCCCAGTAGACATAAGTTTCTGTTATTTTTTAAAATTCTGTGCATGTATAATAAAATTGAAATGTACATAAATTGATGACGTGAACGCCAACGTTCATATCAAAGATTATATACATAAGTGTATATAATCTTTGATGATATGAACTATGTATATTAAGTTTCACAAGTAACGACGTCATGCATTAAAAGAAAGAAAACAGTAAATTGATTATACTTTGCTTCCTGGCCACATTTTATGAATGCAAAAGTCATGGTCATCAACGAATTGTTATATACCCAAATATTACAATCATATTCCCAATGGTATGTAAAATATATAGCAGCAATCCTAAGTACGTCCCTGTTATGTAACTATTAAAGGCCATCCTCATACATCTGTTTCAATCAATATATTACAAAAAAAATTGATTTCCGACTAAAGGTGTATCATGTGTAGACAGTTATTTATAGAGAACTAAGTAATATTAAAGTATTGTTTCAAGTTTATTATGTTGCATCTTCTGCCCTTTTTCCTTTAACTCACATTATCTTGATCTGTAAAATCTAAAGATCTAAAAGTAACGATACCTTTTACTTACATCACGACCAGCGATCGCTGTCTCAGCAGTTGCCTATGGAGACAGGTGGCCTCGTGGTTGCCACTGACAGTTTAATTTTGATGTTCTTTGCTGACAGTCCCCTCCGCACTATGAGGGTGGCTAGACAGCAACTCAAGACGAAGACAATCTGTTATTCTCTTTATAGATTGTATTCACCGGTTTATGTGCACAGCAGAATTATATCCCGTAAATACATGTGCCGTTCTTTTATGACTTTTAAGTTTAGAGCGTTGTGAAATGGTTTTATATACATATTTTTCTATGAGTGTTAGTAAAAAATGCCCCTTTATAAAATCTGTTGCACCTTTGATATAATCATCATAACATTTCATAAAATGTCTAACCACATTATGTTGAGAGACTAACATTACATTACATAATATGTTCAATCTTAACATGAAAGTCGGATTACTACCTGTAATTCAGACACGTCATAGGCATATAACTCGGTGAATAACTGTTTGTAGAATGGTTTAATTTGTAACATACGAGGTGTGTCTAAAAAGTAATGAGACTGGTGCTATAAAAATATTTATTAACTGATCTACAAATCTACATTATCCTCTTCACATCGCTGGAGACGTTACTCCCACTCTCGGACGCACTGCTGAAAGTCTTCAACTGAAAGTGTCCTCGCTGGTCTGTCACGACCTTTTGTATGTTGTCCACAGTTCCAAAATGTTTATGTGAAAACTTTGTGCAAAATTGGTTACAAGAAACCTTATCATAGAACAAAAGCAAAACCGAAAGAGTGTGCCTGGACCTTCTTGAATGCATCGAAATGAAAATTTTTTCAAACATGTCATAACAGGAGATGAATTGTGGATTTTCGAGTAAGATCCCGAAACCAAACGACAAAGATTGGAGTCCACAGGCAACTCACAGCGCCCCAAGAAAGTAACAATGAGCAAATCGAAAATCAAATTCATGATAATTTGTTTTTTCGCCATTTGTTCATAAAGAATTCGTACTTCAAGGACAAACAATTTGTTAACCAACAGTACTATCATGAGGTCCTCGAACGACTCAGGAAAAGGGTTAATCGTCTACCATACTCGACTGGATCTGAATCCGTGTGACTTTTTGCTTTTCACGATGTTCAAATTCCACGCCAAGTGTCGTCATTTTGCAACTGTGGGTAACATTTAAACGGTCCTGACAGACTAGCCGTAGGCACCTTCAGCTGAAGACTTCCAGCATCGGGAGCAAGGTCTTCGACGGTATGTGGCGTCCCAAAGGAACTACTTTGAAAGAGATAATGTTGATTTGTTATCAAAACGTTTTCTAACACCAGTCTGCATTTTAGGCACACCTCGTATATATAATTTTTATTAAATTCCAGTACAATTTTCAAGAATTCCGTTATAACTACTGTACTTTTACAGATACCTAGATAGAAGTTTTACATTATTGTTATTAATACATATAATAATTGCAACTTTAAAACATTTTCACAACGTTAAGGAACTCTCTACTTAAATTGGTCGGCCAAGAGTAACTACGATTATTGCTAGATTATTACATGGTTTCTTTTTTATTGTATGATAATGTTATTGAAAAATGTATATTACCAGATTTATTTTGTAACTTTTTAATTTCAATTACACCAAAAAATATATGTATATCCCGCACAATATTCCGATAAGTACACAAGAACATAAAACACAGAGCCATATAGACTTCCATATTTGGTAAGTGTAAAATGGGGGGTTTGTTGATGTATGTATTTATCGGCACTGTCTTTCACCGCATTATATTCAATATACTGTTTAAAATAATAAATATTATATGAACTGATATGATATGTATGATATGTATTTATAAAATGCTATTAAGCAGGTGTTGCGGACTGCGTGCCCCTTTAACTTTAAAACACTCGGTATCAGTAATAATTAAAACTCTATTCATTTAAACTTTGCAGTGTTGGGTTGGACTTAGGTGAGTGAAACGTCCAACTACGACCGATGCTTATGAAATAAAATTAACATGACATGAACCGCTTAAGCATATCCTGAAACGCTTTCTAACGTGCTCACGTCGCGGTCGTAGATACACGAAACACACAGTTTGTTAATCGAATTAAAATGAATTTGCCTAATTGTATTGTTTCCACTATTTTGATTGGTTGTTGATATACTATGAATGCTCGGTAAGTTAGGCCTGTACATATATAACATCCAAGGCATTTAGTTTTTGATACATCAAACGAAAAAAAATGTATTCACAAATCAATAATAACCCTTATAGACTATTATAATGTTATCTGGAACTTAAATAATCTAATCAAATGAATTTTACTTATGTGTCATTTCTAAGGTTTAAAAAATAAGTTCCCTAGAACTGTGCCTTGAGGAACTTCTGTGGCAATCATTTCTAATTTTATTGCCTATTTTAATAAACCATTTGTCCCTCAAAATTTTAATTAAAATTAGGTATTTAAAGCTTTTATCAGGTATACTGTAAGAATTGTAATGTGTAGTTAATAAAGTTAAAATTGTAGGTTTTTCGTAAAAACCATTATACGTTCATGAAACATTTTTTGAAGTGACGAAATGGTTTTTAAAACAATGTAGGCTTGTATTTTCATTGTGTTTATTGTTGTTAGTCTGTTAGTTGCATTACGAAATTCTATTTATAGAGGAGCCTTACAATATTTGGGAGGTAACCATGTTTGCCACCCCCTTATTTGTAATTTTGATTAACATAAAACATGCGCAAGAAATTGTTTATATTATGTTTTCTTAGGGTTTTAATACACTGTCTTTGTCCATATTTATATCGACAGAAAGCAAAATAATTTAAAAAAAATTAAACACGATAACTACACATTTTAAACACTTTTCGATTCATTCGAAATTAACACTGTTTTGTTAAATTTTGTTTATTTTATAATTTAATATTCTTTTTTGCTAAAACACTTGATGTAATTTTATATGAAGCTTTCCTATGAAGGGTGAATTTTTTAGTTCCAATTATTTTCTCAGTTGGATAAAGCATACAATTTTATATATTAATCGGCTTTCAATGGTGACGTTAATCAAACATAGAAATGTACTGAATATGTATGTAAAAAAAAATGAAAATGAATATATTGACCTAGAAAAAACTAATAATCCCAGTCGAGACCTCTTTATTAAAAATTTTAATGAAGACTCATAAGAAAGTGATAAGGACTTTAATGAATAATGTTGTGTTTTGGTATAAAGTTTATTTCAAACTTAATTGCAACATAAAAAATTATGCTTTTTATGTTGCAAATAACTTTGAAATAAACTATACGTTTATAGTGTTTCGTGCGAGCTGGTATTCATTCGAACTAAACTTGCCAAACGGAAATAATGCATGTTATCCGAGATGTTTTATTTAACTTATTGCTGTTTTAAATTTTATTTTATTTATAAAAATAATAATTTATTTACTTTCGTATAGGTACTTATAATCCCATCTTTAACAATCCTCCCATTACACGAAGCAAAGCATATAACCATTTTTATTTTATTATATAGAAACAAATATGCTTTTCTTTTTAGACTTATACTGTTTATTGCTATACTTGTATTCATAATCCGAGTCGGAATCCCTCCCTTCTTGGCAAGGGATGCTCTTACCTCCTCGCGGTCCTTGCTGGGCAATAATAATTTGCAATTTTAAATTATTATTGGCTAAATTGAGCAAACAAAGTGGCATGTTATTGTAAACATGTATTTCTTAAGTTCTAATATTGTCATACCTTATTCCATACACAATTTAAAAAAAAACCGTAGTACGGTCGTGTCCTACTCTCATACCTGCGCCGGTGGCATCTTTGTCAGTGATTTTATGGCATTTTTTCTATTTTTAATGTTTCTGCAATGAACCGTATCTGCAAATTTAAGACGTTTTATTTTCCTGTGGTTTTTGAATGAGATGTGTATTCAACCCCATTATAATGAATTAACAAATGATATAATTTATTAAACCGGGGGTAGCACAGTTGGCTAGAGCGTGTTATGTTGCAGGCGCGACTAGTCACTGTTTATCGTGCCCGTGGGTTCGATTCCCAGCTCCGTCAAATGGCATTGCCAGAGTGAATGGTTTTTCAAAGTAAAACCCCCACTTCACACAGCTTAAGCTTCTGGATTTGGGGGTTGTTTATGTGGTGTGTTTTTATCTGCTGCATCCATTGGTCTAGAAAATAACAAACTTAACCCATTACCCGCTAAGATCCTAATTTTGGATCTGCAAATTTTGAGTCCTCATTTGTAAATTATTATGTTTAAAACATATTTTTTAATATTTATTTCAAACTTATTTGCAACATAAAAAAACGTCGGCACCATTTACAGCCATAAAGGGATCAAAGTAACCGAGGTTTTTTATGTTGCAAATAAGTTCGAACTGTACTTTGCTTATGTATATTATCGCTTTTCCAACTTGCGCATTTTTAATTTTTTTATCAACATAAATTCAGTTTTAAATATTTTGCATTTGAAATTAAATAATTGCGTTTCATATCACGGGCTTCTAGGGCTAAATGATGACGGTAGGTGCTATTCTTCGTGCCAGAAAATGCGAACATGTTTACGTGATTATAATCTATGTTGTCAAACATGAGCTCTATGTGCAAGGTAATTAGGGAACTGTCAGAAGTACTAGAACGAATCATGATCACTTTGTTCACAAATCATTGGAACTCTTTCAAGCGCTACAGCGTGTTGTCAACAATTCGCCGACCGTAGCGGGTGTCAAAACCTTCTGTAAAGGAATCTACGAAACGATGCGTCCATTCAATATCGACACTCCAGCAATTGCACACTTCGAGGTTCTGTACCACAGACACCTAAAAGAGCCAAAAGAAGTGTGCCCAGCAATCAGTACGGAGGAAGTCCAACAAGCGCTTGTTGGTACCAAGAACTATGCTGCCCCGGACCCAGACGGCATTAACAACTGGTGGTGGAAGAACTTTCGTTCCATACACCGCTATCTGGTGTGAGTTTTTGATTAAACGAGGTACAGCAGATTCCCGACTGGTTTGTCGAGGGACCCACAGTGCTTATCTTTCCAACCCGATCACTTGCCTCAACTCCTGCTACAAGATATTTACACGTACTCGTATTTTGTATGCTAGGACACTGAGATCTATTGATCCGGTCTTCGAGCGATAAACGAGCAGCGCTGTGCTAGGAAAGGCTTGCCAGCGGGTCACGACAGAGCAGGTGGCATTTATGAGAGTTTTCCCAGGGCCGCACCACGAGCTTTTGCCGCCGGGTGCGCGCTAGAAACAACCACCATATCATAAACAAACCTAGGTACAAAAACTTAAGTATTTAGAAAAAAAGTAAAATGAATTGGGATGACGCATTTTTCTGTTATATATTTTACATATTGTAACAAAAATCGCTCTTAAAAATAACTGCATTTTTACTTATTTTGAGGACGCGTGTCGCTCTATCTATGTTTTTTTAGGGATTACAGTATCGCAACTGCAAAAGGCCTTTACTCTTTGAGGCTGGGGCCGCTGCCGCCTTTTTTCCGATCGATCCGTGCATCGGCAATCATTACCTAAGGCGAAGGTGTTGTTTAACTTATAACAGCGAACGCCGTTACTATTGACTTTGCTTTTCAATTTGCCGCCCTCCTAGATCTGCCGCCTGGGTACAGGACACCCCTTGCGCCATAGGTTGGCGCGGCCCTGAGTTTCCGAACTTTTGGGGAGGAACACTGAGTTTCCGAACTTTCGGGGAAGAACAAAGTGATTGAGACTAACATGCTTGTCGTTCCGGTTCTGTTCTACTACTTTGGAGTAGTAAAAGTGGAAAGTAACAAACAGTAACACTAACCCTGCAGGATGTGAGGAGTGGCTGTAGTTAATTCGCCGACGCTACTCCCGTCAGACGTCGGAGGTCACGGGAGGACCGTCCGATATCGGTTATTCGGAAAAAAAATTAAATAAATTGCAATTTCTGACAGTGTACTTGCAAATGTAAGTACATGCAAAAAAAAGATGTCTTCACGTCGTGACGTCCAAATTTCCTATGTTGAATGGATGTAAAAAAATATATAAATAAATACTAATTAAATAATTACAAATAACTTGCAGTTACGTAGCAATATTTTAAAGCATACATTTTATTGTAAATTTTTCTTTATTGGACAGCGACAGGTGCAATCAGTTGTGAAATGTTATTAATCAAGGATACATTGCAAATCAAACATAATGTAAAATTACGAAGAAACAATTCCATAATTCCACATTCCGTAATACAAATTAAAACAATTTACACTTGTAACTTGCTGTAATAATAAATATTTAACAATATCTAAAATATGTAATTTATTTTACTGTGATACTGATGATATAACTAAAAACCAATTAATGATGCCATAGAGTAAGCTTATTTAAAATTTTCGTATTCAATTAATTACGTCACACGTTTAAATATATTAAGAATTATCTATTCATATTGTTGATACAATCGTCTCGTGAAATATTCATATGTAGACATACAAACATACATTTGTCGTAAACAAATCTTGATTATTTATTGATTTTTCAAATATTTGAAAAAAAATCGAAATTAAAAAAAAATTTTTTTTTGCTAATGAATTTATTTTATTCCTAAAACTACTTTTTCGCTCTGTTACATTGTTATAAAGTATAATGCTTACGATGTTTCGTTCCTCATGAATCATTATCGGCTTAATAGTAGTAGTAGTAACTGGGGGAAGCGTATACCACATACAGATCCTTTTTATCGACCCTTTACAGTTCCACGCACCATCTACTCCACCTGTTCCCATGGAAACTTCCCAGCGCCAAAGGTTCATGCCTCAGTCACCAGAACGCCTCACACTGCACCATGTATTGGTAGCACGTTTCTTCGTCTCTCCCGCATCTCGAGCAGGTAGGGTTTTCCTCCACACCTATTAGTGACAGGTGTGTCCTAATCTTGTAGTGGCCCGTCAAGACTCCGATCAATCTCTTTAGATTCTTTCTGCTCTGGCCAAGTAACCAGACCGACCGCGATTTGTTCAGCCCAGTCACAAAATTCTGAGCTATCTGAAGTTACTGCTTACGCTCCAAGCTCCCTCAATGCCCCGTGAGTTCATTCATGCGGATCGTCGTAAACTGCCTCCCTGTAATGCCTAACAGGCTCCGGTTAAAGACAGGGCTTCTCCACGCATAACTAATTTGTTGGTCTTCTTGTTTCCTGGGATCCCACTATGTCCGGGGACCCACACAATTTTTGTGTCTAGCTAGCTCTTCCAAAGCACTCTTGAACAACAGCCGACTTCGTTCCAAGAGTGCAGATTGCTTTTAGAGCCGCTTGGCTGTCGGAGCAAATATATACACTTTGCTCCATACTCTTTTAACTTATTATTTGCTTGCTACTTCTAGAATGGCAAGTCTCTGCCTGGAAAACTGGTATACGACCTCAGAGCAAAGCTATCTACACTCCTCTGCCCTCCAGGTACATTCCCACCCTCGAAAACGGTCTGGCAGCCACACAAGAACCATCTGTGTAGCATACCATTGAATCTGGGGAGAGCAGTTTTTTTCTTTCCTCCCATTCTTCCCAACTGGGTAGAGTGGGGGGTGTAGCACCTATCCAAACTTAGCTGATCTATTTCCTCTGTCACCTGAAAGGCGGAAATGGTAACTTTTTCTCCGCTAATTCAGCGATTACCACATGACCTTTAGGTCTGCTTCTACACCGGCAACTTCCTGATTCCCGCATTGTTAGGTGGGCCGCCATGGCTAACTAAGGTGAAACAAATTTCAATATCAATAGTAACATCGCCACCCCGCTGTCAAACTAAGATTTTGGATTGTGTTCATTTCTAAATCCCAATTTTGTTTGTGGATTCACTAGAGAAATGTCAGATTAGTAGTTTTGTGTGCAACAGCAATTACTCGAGAGGTTAGGGCATAGGGTTCAATAGCATAAGGAAGCAGATGTTGGAAAAGCCTTTTTTCTAGCCAGACCACATACGCTATCATAACCAGGAGATTCCTATATGATTCTAATGTGAATACTCTTCCATCATGGCCCTTAAGATTGCCCGACCTTTGTGCGGTTGAGTCAAAACATTTTATTTTAATTCAGATTTATATAGACTATAGTTTCATTAATGTTCAAATTTTGGATGTGTTCATAAAATATGATCCTTAAAAAGCGTTACTTTTTTCCTTTTTTATTGCAGATTCCCATAACTTAAAAAATTTAAATCAAAATTTTTGTCTTAAAGAAGCCGGACCATTTTCACAAAATGTATTCGTGTGTGTGTTTATGGGACTGTAAACATGAAATAGCCGACACAACTTAACTCGATGCGCTGTAATTTAGCACGAAAATAGATCTCATTACTAGGAAGAAATAAGAGACAGAGGTATCAACTTTTAAAGGGAAACACCCCTTGTCAAGTGAATAGTTATTTATGAGCAAAAACAAACAGATTTGAGGATGGCTGAAAACTACTATTTAGTCCGTCTCTCTGGAGACATGAGAATTATCTAATAACACAGTAATAACTTCTAACAATTATTTGTAAGATGGCACAGTATATTTATGTTTGACAATTAATTTTTTAATAAAATATTTTGATATAGGACATAAAGAACAATCATTTATATCGTCCAGTATTCATTAAAATAAATAAACATCGAGGAGCACACAATTTACAAGGTACCAGAATCTTAAATCCCGTTTTCCCCAAATTTTGTTAGTCTTTTTCTCTGTTAAATGGCCGGATATTTTTTATTTTTGTAAACGTGTCATGTATCATTTGAAATGAATTTTAAATACAAATCAAAATTGTAATATACCGGATAAGTATTCTCATTTTATAAATATGTTTCCAACATTAATATTAATAGTAATTTCTCACAAATATAACTACAAATTAAACCCTTCACAAATTTTATGTTTTTTCTATAATACGAATTATTACTATGTCATACTCCAAATATAATGATGATCAATATAACAGAATTAAACAATACGATAAAAACAGAAATCAATTTTTAAAATAAATACTCCGGAAAACACTCAAAAATTTATATAACATGTT